TATTCACATATTGATTCTCAACATCTATCTACTTTACAAATAATTGCACAACCCTCTGTTTTACTTTACAGAACAAAATATGTCTTTGAATCATATGTTTTATAAATACAAGATACAAAAAAGCATTTATAAAAAAACTTTGTTTTCATATTTTTACACACATTAATATTCAGAACTTTAAGAGAAATTTTAATATGATGCAGATGCTTTGGGGATTAAATTTTGTAGGCGATATAAACAAATTATGCTAAACCTACTCACTATGAAATTTTTTTTTATTTTAACAACAGTATTTTTGAAATTACATCTTCCATTTTTTCACATGAGAAGCTTTAAATGCTAAGAACTTGCTACTCAGCTTTGGAGCTGGGAACTTCATTTAAGAATTATGAAAATGCATTCTGTCCAAATACATGTTTATTTAATTCAGTCGTACCTAGCAGAATTGCAAATTTCAACATTAAAATGTGTGGTATTATTAATTTGAAGTAGTTTCTTATTTTTGCCAAAGCTTCTTTAGAAACTTAAATTAAGTTTTAAGAATAATAGAAATTAAAATATTTAGTTCACTTTGAAAGAGCTATAATTAGTAATAAAAAGCATATGTTGCCCAAAACGTTTCAGGTACAATATAATTGAAAGTGTTGTTCTGAGGTTTATTTTTTTATTCAATATGAACATGCAGAAGAGAGTTAGTGTAATGTGTAACTAGATTGCATGAAATCATAATTTAATTCTGTAAAACGAGACACTGTTGTTTTGTATGAGATTTGGATAAATAGATTTCTTCATTTGTTCCTACACACAAAAGTTCATACTTGGAACTGTGCCACCAGGGCTTCTGTGTTTGTTAAGGGTTGTATAATATGCATAGATAGATAGGTAGATAGATAGATTGATAGATAGATACATAGATACTTAGATACATAGATAACAGAAACAAAAATTGCAGAAAACAACTTTATCACATACACTCTAGTAGTTTATATTTTATAACATACCATTTTATTACATTAAAAAGTGCTGCTTCAAACCCAGATAACTGATTTCAAACAGCTGGAAAAACGCTGGCTTAGGTAATGGCTGTATACTCACACTGGCAAAATGAAAACGGTCCTGCTACTGTCACCATCACAGCATTGTGCCCACCTGAGTCCAGCCTAGCAGTGTGTTACTTAAACCACATACACATCATCATCGAAGCATAGTATTGAAATGGTTTTACCATCAATTATAAGGAATGATACACAGTATAAGCAGCCAGGATTAATTGCATTAATATTATACAACTAAATATAACTGCATAATATTTGGTGGAAGAATGCTAAAGATTTGGATAAGATGTAAAAATTAAAAATAAATAATGCTGTTGTTCTGGAAAATTGATAAATACTGTTTAGATTTTATCCAGAAAAATAGTATGTTCATGATTAGCCAAGAAAATCATGACAAAAAGGTGTAATAAGTAGAGACTTGCCTTTATGGTTATCTGAAATTATTAGGAAGGCATAATGTTCTCTATATTGTTAGGTGAAAAAACAAGGTGTAGAACGGTATAAAGGAATGCTACCGTCTGTGTAACAAACTGAAAAAAAAAACAAAACATATTTTCTTTGCAAACAAAATCACTGAAGACGTAAACCAAAAACTAAGAAAGGGAACAGCACACTGGAGATATGGTTTGGAATGAACTCCTCTCAATATCCATTTTCACATAATTTTAATTCTGGTTATCCCATAAATATTTTTCATATTCAGAAAGTAAAATTCAAAAGAAAAAAGGCATATAGCACATGTGCCAAGATAAAGCAAATAAATATTTGTGTTAAGGTTGTTAGAAACCATATTTTAATGAAGTTATAAATATAAAGTCAAGGGAAAGAATTTTAAACCCCATAATGTTAAATTGGGGCATTGGTGGTTCAGTGATAGAATTCCTGGGTTTGGTTCCAGCCAGTGAACCTCATATGCAGCCACCACCTATCTGTCGGTGGAGACTTGTGTGTAACTGTGGTGCTGAACAGGTTTCAGCAGAGCTGCCAGACCAAGACAGACTAGGAAGAAAGGCCTGATGATCCCCTTCCAAAAACCATCCAGTGAAAATGCTAGATATCACAAGGGTCTGATCCCTAATCTATCATGGGGATGGTGCAGGAGCGGGTAGCATTCTGTTCCCTTGTGCTTGTTGTCACTATGAGTCAGTGCAGACTTGAGAGCAACTAACAGCAATAACACAGTATTGAATTGGATTTTGAAATATCAACATGGACTATTTGTTTTAAAAAATATGTATAAGTATCTCTTGCTGAAGGCCAGTAATCCATTACCTAAAACACTAACTGCTAGTCTATTTCTTATTGTCTTAAATGGGCAAAATTATAACGCATTTTAGGTCAACCACAAAACATAACCAATTTCTCACAGAATAACTTAAACACAGTAATGCCTGTAGAAAAGTATCAAACTATCTAGATAAGATCTAATATAATTAGAATATTGTTTTCTCATCACGAAGCAATTGATACGATTATTACCACAGTTGCTTTATATGTGGCTACATGTACTGTTTGCATGTGATAGGATAATCTCTTAGTTTATGATACAGTGTAGCAACAAACAAAAGTTGATAAAAATAAAGGTAAATTCAAGGAAATTTCCCAAATTGACTGTCACGAAGCTAAAGAAGCCATGAAGCCTGGAGTGGAGAAAGTTGAGAAGAGAGGAGGTAATTAAGATGAAAGCAGTCATTGCTGTTTGCAAACAAAGTGATGGCGTGGATGAGCTGGATGACAAGGGAACAGTTTTTAACGAACTGTCAGATTCAGAGGAACTAATAGAGATTCTCGATGTCTTGGCGTTGCTGTGTAGATTGCTAAGCAGGAATGCTTTCATAAATCATCAGGAATGGTGGTCAAGATGAAGAATTAAACATGCAGATTTTCTTATGGTTCTGTTCATAAATTTCTTCATATGTCCCTTTAAGAGATACCAGGCTGTTGTAAAAAGAAAGATGTATCATTGCATCATCACACTATCCCTCCCTGAATATTCTTAACAACAGCAAAGTCCAAGACATATGGCCTCTTGGTTTAAGCCCACTATGCTTTTGAAATGTCTATGCATGATTCTTCTGCTCTCCCAATTTGGAATGTAACCTAGCTCTCTTCCATCACATCATGTTGTTTAGAATATTATATTAAGTGTGAAGGATGTAAATATATACTTTCTGTACACCAACATCAGCTTAAAAAAATGAGGCATTTAGAGACTCGTATGTACTCTTTGAAGTTAGAATATAAAAACCAAGAGTCCCTCTACTGGATAAACATTACCTAGAGAGACATTCTGTGGGATACTTGCATTTTCTAGCCCTGCCCACTGTAAAGGTCTAGAATAATATAATTTGATGGCACTGAACACACCTAATTCCAATTGTTGTTAGGTGTCATCGAGTCGGTTCCGACTCATAGCAACCCTGTGTGCAACAGTACGAAACACTGCCCAGTCCTGCGCCATCCTCACAGTCTTGCTATGTTTGAGCTCATTGTTGCAGCCACTATGTCAATCCATCTCATCGAGGGTCTTCTTTTTTGCTGACGCTCTACTTTACCAAGCATGATGTCCTTCTCCAGGGACTGGTCCCTCCTGATAACATGTACAAAGTACATGAGACTAACTCTCTTTGTCCTCGCTTCCAAGGAGCAGTCTGGCTGTACTTCTTCCAAGACAGATTTGTTCGTTCTTCTGGAAGTCCATGGTATATTCAATATTCTTCGCCAGCACCATAATTCAAATGCATCAATTCTTCTTCCGTCTTCCTTATTCACTGCCCAGCTTTCACATGCATAAGAGGTGATTGAAAATACCGTGGCTTGGGTCAGGCACACCTTAGTCCTCAAGGACTTTAACACTTTAAAGAGGTCTTTTGCAACAGATTTGCCTAATTCGATATGTCATTTGATTTCTTGACTGCTCCTTCAATAGGCGTTGATTGTGGATCCAATGGTAGCCTCTAAATGTCATTTTCCAGCAGAAAGAATTAGGTTCCTTGAATCAAAGGTTGATTCCAAGTATGGAGGAAAAAAAAGGACAAGACAAGCTTGTGACATCTAATCATGTCGGAGAGCAAAGAAGTTGCCGGGCTGATGGGCGTATGTCATACAGGCACCAACATGAAGAGTCCCCAGTTAGCCACCAGTGGGACAACTGGAGCATCGGAGATGTTGTTGTTAGTTGCTGTCAAGTCGTTTCTGACTCGTGGTGACCCCATGTGTGTAGAGTAGAATGCCATAGGGTTTTCAAGGCTGTGACCTTTAGGAAGCAGATCACCAGGCCTGTCTTCTGAGATACCTCTGGTTGGGTTCAAACTGACAACCTTTTGGCTAGTATATGAGTGCTTAACTGTGTGGGCAATTCGTGAAATTGACTGAAGCCAATATGTTCCTAATTTTTACTAAAGGAAAAAAGAAGGAAAAGGAAAGAAAGGGAGAGAAGAAGGGAGGGAAGGAGGGAAAGTATAGAGTGGAAATTTTGCAGGTCAACTAACATTAACAGAGCCTTTATAGTTATAGGATTCTGTGCTTATTTTATTAGTCTATGCTTAGTTTTCTGCAGTGTGGTTAGAAAGTCAAAAATTGGAAGCAACTTAAATAATTACCAATAGGGGAATAATAAAATAAAAGTACACCCATTTTATGGAATATTATTCCATCACTAAAAATGATAGAGCACAACTTTAAGAACTAAGATATAAAGATGTCCAGAATGCATTGTTTAGTTGGAAAAGGGTAAATTTTAGAGTAAAATAAATGGCTTTATCCACATCTAGATATAGACCACAGCACATGGAGGCGGGGTATAGTTGGAGAGGAGATGTTCCCATTTTATTTTATATATTCCTATATTATTTCAAAGTTTGTTTAAAAATATGTATTAATTTTAGAAGCAGAGATGGTTTCTTCTATGTAACAGCTATCCTACTGCTTCCATCTCTTCTAAAGGTGTCAGACAACAAACAAAACTTGCCCTACAAATTACATCTGGAATAATCACATGTGCAGATGCCTGGCTCAGCAAGATTTTATTTTTTCCTCCAGTGCTGGAGATGGTAAGTAGAATGTTATTTTAAAGACTAAATGCCCAGGATCTATATTTTGATTAACAAATATTTATTATTAAGACCACATATATAATATCCAGATAATCATTCCTTGAAACAAGTGACTACCAAACAGGACATTTTTGACTCCATATTGGTATTATTTTGAATTTCTTTGTAAAGGAACACACTCGCTTGTGCACACGGTCCTTTAATAAGAAACATAAAAAGATGAAGTTTCATGTTTCACACCAAGTAAGGTATACTAAGAATGTTCTGGCTGTGTTTGTCTAGACTCTACAGATGAAGTTCATGGCATCTGTGGCCCCAACAAGGAGCTGGATGAAGAAACCTGTCAATGCATCTGTAAAGGAGGGCTTCGGCCGTCCAGCTGTGGGCCCCACAAGGAGCTAGACAGAAACTCATGCCAGTGTGTCTGCAAAAACAAACTTTTCCCCAGCTCCTGTAGGGCCAACAGAGAATTTGATGAAAACACATGCCAGTGTGTATGTAAAAGAACCTGCCCAAGGAATCAACCCCTGAATCCTGGAAAATGTACCTGTGAATGTACAGAAAATACACAAAAATGTTTCTTAAAAGGAAAGAAGTTTCATCATCAAACATGCAGGTAAGAAACCTTAAGCAGTAGCAATTTCTTTTACTGGGAATAGTTTTCTCAACGAAAATCTAAAATAAACCCATTGCTATCAAATTGACTCTGACTCATAGCGACCCTATAGGACAGAGTAGAACTGCCCCATAGAGTTTCCAAAGAGCAGCTGTGGATTTGAACCGCCAGCCTTTTTTGTTAACAGCCATAGCTCTTAACCATTGTGCCACCAGGGCTCCAAAATCAAAAATAGCAGTTGTTTATTAGAATGAGAGTGGCCACCTGTAAGTTCTAGAAGACCAATTCTGCTATTTTTTAACCAATGCTGAACTTCCATGAGGAGTCCCTGGGTGGCACAGATGGTTAAGCACTCAGCTGCTAACTGAAAAGTTGGAAGTTCAAGTCCAACCAACCAGAGGCACTTCAGAAGAAAGGCCTAGTGATCTACTTTTACCAGCATTCCTGAAAGATCACAGCCATTGAAACCCTATGGAGTACAGTTTTACTCTGATACACATCGGGTCACCGTGAATCGGAATTGACTTAAGAGCAATTGGAAACTTCCATGAGACTGAGTTTGCTCCCAAAAGAGCAAGACGTGAGCCTTAGGGACCAAAGCTGGTCCAAGCTCAGAATAGTCTTTAAATCCCTTGTGCCAGAGGCTAATGTAGTGGCACTCAGTCCAAGTTGGAGAACAGATGCATAGGACAGTCACCTGTGGAGACTTTCAAAATACATCCAGGCAATCCACGTCTGCTCTCACCAAAAATTATGATACTTTCACATATAATTAGGACAACTGTTCTAGGTGTTGACAATTTTTATGCAAAACTAATAACAAAGGTAGACTAGTACCATTTACTGTAGAATCATATCTAGAAATGAAAATATCTAAGAGAAGTCTTTAATTAGAAAAATAAGTCAGTACTTTTTAAAAGTTCCTCAAGACTCACTCCTTAAATCTTGATTCTTGCTCCCTTTTTCACCAAGAAAAGAATGAGACTGTTGGGCTCAAACTCTGTAAATCCCTGAATTTCTTTCTCTTTAATCCCAGAATATAAAATGGTCTACTGTTTTAAGCAAGATCTGTGCTTTTGATATTATTCTTTCATATACCCCTTGGAACATTGTTCCACCAGTCATACATTCCCTCTTTCGTACCTTTGACATCTTCAATTCTCTTTTCCCCTCAGTCTCCCCAAATATCTTCTATCTTATTAAAGTCTTACTGTGATTCTTGTCATACTTGAGCGATCACCCTATATCCGTCTCTTCAGAGTTGCTCAAAGACTAGGCATCTTGCATTTGCTTTTACCTTTCTTTCATCTCCTATTTATTCCTCAACCAACTGCAATCTAATTTATGTTCTAGAATTCTATGTTGCAGCTCTATTTAAGGTATCAGTAACCTCTTAATTTCAAAATCCGGTGGATAATTTTGTCTTATATATACAATTTTAGCAAAAGTTATGTTCTATAGAAAACATTGTATAGTATTTAATATTTCCAAATCTTTGATCTTCTTTCATCATTGATGTAATAGATGCCCAAGGTGACTATTTTTCAATCCACAGAATACATCTCATGTACTGAATACAGCTTTTTTCTGGACATTCCGTGGCCTTATCCCTTAGGAATATACTATGAAGGCTGTGCAATGGTAAAACAGTCTCTCATCACTATATTTTCCTTTTCCATGTAAAGTTTTACACTCACCTTTATTGATATGACCATTTTTGTTATGAATATAATAATGTACCCCCTGTGAGCAGTCAATGCATGTTGTTTTGATAATGCTATTTACAATTGCAGTCAGCATAGTGGGAGAGATGATATTAAAGTTGTTTTTAAAGAATGGAAATGTCAATGGCAAGGCTAGATCTCACCAGCAGATTCAGTCCAAAATCAAAGCATTAATAAAAAAAAAAAAGAAGAAACAAATCGAAAAAGGCAAGCCTGCTGTTTTCCTCAAATATCTATATTCTTGGTAATATTTTATGCAACCTGTCCTTTCTGTTAAGCTCATCTCTTCCTTGGCTGAGATGACGTTATAACTCCCTGGTTGCCCTCTTAACTTTCTGACTTCTTAATTTTAGTCACCTTCACTGGGTTCTCTTCTTCCATTCAATCTTCATATATGGCAGATAACTAAAATATTCCTATGGCTTAAAACTTACCATTTCATTTGTTTACAGTTTAGTATATTAATTAATGTCTGTCATTACATTTTTCCTCGGTAAACAGTCCATCTTTTTGATCCTCAGAAGTTTTGAGTTCTCATTTTAATTTATATTTATGATGATCTGTCCACACTAATGTTTTAACTATTGCATGTGGAGACTTTAATGAACCTAGGTATCTCATTGATTATATATTTTTTCTTCCCTTACTAGATTAAGAGTACGTTATAGGAATCTGTTTCTTCTTTAGAAAATTATGAGCAATAACTGTATTCCAATTTTACTTGCATATGCCTACTCTAATTACCAAAAGGAGACTTCACAAATGCACTGATTAAATCAGAAGGCTGTAAGATACTTGATCACATTAAACCTTCATTTTGTACATTGAGTCCTTCTAAGTAACCCTAGTATATATTGGAAAATCTGAAAGCGTTTATGTTTACATACAGACTGACCAGCCATCATATGGTTTTTACAGAGTTCCTATATTAGCTTAGTAGAAGATATTTCTATCATTGTATGTATCCTACCTAATACACATTCTTTCATAAAGGCATTCTATTTACTGCAAGTCTTTCAGTTTTCATCGAAGTGTGTAATTCCAGGTGTTGTGGTATACATAGGTATATATATATATATACACATATAAACCCTGATGGCGTAGTGGTTAAGAGCTTGGCTACTAACCAAAAAGTCGGCAGTTCGAATCCACCAGGTGCTCCTTGGAAACTCTGTAGCGTACTTCTACTCCGTCCTATGGGTCACTGTGAGTCAGAATCAAATCAATGGCAATGGGTTTGGTATTTTGGTTTACATATATATATATATATATATATACACACACACACACACACATAGAATTAAAGGAGATTATTTCTTTGAAAGGACATATATACTATTCATTTTTTATTAGTATCTGTTTTAAAATTGTGGTGGATAGAGTATATGTTCTTTGGTTGACTGCTTTCAATATCCATTTTTATTGATCATTGACAAATTTATTCCTGTTTAGGTCTTATAACCATGCATTTGTATTTAGAAGTAAAGTTTTTCATTTTATAAGAATATTTAGCAGTTTAACTAAGGATACACTTTCTTTTTTAGGGCATAAGACACAGAATTTTAAAACCGAATTTTTCATTGTGTTTTGTAATGCCCTGTCGACTTCCACATGTCAGGTCATCTTGCATTTTCCCCTGCACACCCATCCTCACATGTTAGGCATACTTGTGCTCCAGAAGGTCTTCAAAGATAGCTCCGATCCATTGGAGCAACATGGCTGCGGACACTATTGACAGATTGGTAATTTGTCCTTTCACCACTGCTAGAAACTGTGAGGACTTACTGGGGGGCACCACTGGTGAGTAGTTTCCATCTCTGCCCCTCCCCCTAGGCCACATCTGTTTCACATGGAGCCCTGGTGCAGAAGGGAGAGTTGGCCACCATCCTGCAGCCAGCTGCCTAGTAAAGAGACAAGACTGAGGGTGGAGCTATTCACTGAGCACCACCGAAAAAAACAAAACAAACCCATTGCTGTCGAGTCGATTCTGATTCATAGCCACCCCATAGGACAGAGTAGAACTGTCCCACCAGGTTTCCAAGGAGCGCTGGTGAATTCAAGCTGGTAACCTTTTGGTTAGCAGCCAAATGCTTGAGCAGTATGCCACCAGAGGTGTGTTTAATCGTCTGGAAGTCTGGGTTCCACACAGCTCCTAGACCCTTGTGAATTCTGCCATGCTTATGTGATCACAGGAAATCAGCAGGCCTTAAATATTCACTTTCATAATTTCTGTTTTATGTTACTTTCATCCAGGAAGCAGGGAGCACTTCAAGAGAACTAATGCTTACAACATCCTGTTTTTCCATTTGTTATATCAGGAAGCCAAACTTTTTTTTTAGGCTTTTCCGTTGCTCTTAAACTTTGTAATTCTATACAGAAACTTTAAAAGTTTCTAAAACTAAGAACAACTTTATGATAAAATGAGTAATTTTGTTCTAGTTTGACATTTAGAAGAACACAGAAGTATATTTATAGCAAAATGAATTAATTGCCTTGGCCTTTAAATGAAAATGTCTTCCTCTTTTTTGTTCTAGTTGTTACAGAAGGCCCTGTCCAGACCGACTGAAGCATTGTGAGCCAGGATATTCATTTAGTGAAGAAGTATGTCGCTGTGTTCCTTCATACTGGAAAAGGCCACATATGAACTAAGATAGTATTATTTTTCACTTCATCATTTTCTATCTTGGAAAACTGTGTTGCCATATTAGAACTGTCTGTGAAGACAGAGACCTTTGGGAGACCATCGTAACAGATAGAAAACCTGTGTTTTCTGAACCATGTGGATAACTTTACAGAAATGGACTGGAGCTCGTCTGCAAAAGACCTCTGTTAAGACTGGTTTTGGCCAATGACCAAACAGCCGAGGTTTTTCTCTCATGTTTAAAAAAAATAATAATTAATGACTATATAATTTATTTCCACTAAAAATATTGTTCCTGCATTCATTTTTATAGCAATAACAATTGGTAAAGCTCACTGTGATTAATATTTTTATAGCATACAAAATATGTCTAAAATAAAATGAAAATTGTATTATAAGCTGGTAATTTCAGTCCATTACCATCTTACACGATAAAGAAAACCTGATATCATGAAAACATTGATCTTCCCCCTCTTTTTCTTTTTCCCTAACCAGATGCTAGGTTTGAATTGCTGTGAAAAAAATGTGATCCTATAAAAAGAAGTTTCAGAGGGTCAACAATATGCTATTGTATTTTGTTTAAATTCATCCCTTAAAATATTTAATGATTATAAACATTTTAGCACATGATACTCTTGAATTTATAACAAATTAAACGATAGAGAACATATCTTGTAAGATAATCTGCTTAGCAGGTTGTAAGTTATTTAGTGCACTGGAAACATTCCAACTCAGAACTTAATATAAAGTCCTTCAGTATATATTAAAATGGCTTTAAAATATTTTACACAAAAAGAATCTTTTCCAAATATTTAACCTCTGACTAGCGCAAATACTTATTCTGAACTGAAGTGCTCCTACTCAGCACATTGAAGTGCTCCTACTCAGCACATTGAAAATAACCTGGAGAGACAATTTAAACAGTCATATAGATTAAAAAGGAAATGTTTCAGTCACACACTGAAGTACTTGTTTCGTTCCTAATGGGCATCACACTAAAATACTTTTCTCTGGGAGGAAATTATTGTGTCTGCTTAAATACTATCAAGGTAAAAAAAAATTCTTTTGAAGTTTGGAAATGTAACCAAAAACATACTTTTAAATGGTGACTAATACAATGCAAAGTATTAGTGTCTACATGCTTTGCTATAAAATATTTTTTTATAAAATATTTCATTAAAAGGTTGATGCCCTAAAAAATATCCTCAGTGTTTTGAATCCTGACTTTTAAAACAGGTTTTACATTGTTTACTGAACCCTAGTTATGTGTTCTGTACAACATCAAAATCTAATAGTTCATGAAGTAGGGTTTTTCATGTATTGAGGAAGAAAACAGGCAGTCTTTTGAATTTTCTCATTGTACGTTTATGGGCCATGTTCTTCCTCCTTGTTAATTATGGCTCTGAAGACGTTCAGCAAAAAATATATGTATTGTGCATTCTATGTCTGGGTAATTTTCAAACTTGAGAACAGGGAAATAAGCAAATTTGTTAACAGTTGCAGTTTTCTTAAAACATCTCTGAAAGAACAAGTTCAGGAGTGATTATGGAAGGAAGAATGGAATCAAAATAAACTCCTTCCATCTAATAGAAGGGCATAGACTTTCATCCATAAAATGTCATCATCTATGAAATGCAGCTGAGACATAACTAAATAATTTTCATCCCATTTGAGCCAACAATGAAAGCACACAGACTTTAATCTGTTATTTGTGATCTGGTCAATTATTCTTTAGTTTCATAAAAATTATATATATTAATTTTTTACTAATCTGAAAAAAATCTATTCTGAGCTCCAGATGAGCCCCCTGAGGCCACGTAAAGAATATTAGAACCTGATACAATAAATGTTATATGTTATCAGCTTAAAAAGCCATCTAAACTGTGTGCTGACAATTAGTTTCTCAGAATATATGGATAAGCCAAAAACATCACTAGACCAAAAATTAAAGTCTGAAGCATGCCAGAAAAAATAACGTTCAGATTTGCCCCTGAAGATGTAATAATTTTGATCAAAGGCAAGAATAGCATGGATAAACACAACACATTGCCAGAGATACTTGCAAGCAATTTTATGTGAACCCTAAAAATCCTACAGCACTCCATTATAATGAATAAGATTTTTGGATGCCAATGAAAAAAGTGGACTAAAGAAATAGCCAAGCAATTATTTAGAATATTAAGCAATGTGATTCTGCAAAGAAGAGTTTCAAAATACAGCGAGAATGTTGATAAGCCCTGCAGAAAAGTCCCAAGATACCAATCCAGTCAATCTAAAGGATAAAGGTGAGAACATTCTGGAAGCCTACAGCAGCAGTTCATATTTCCAAGTCTTAGAAAGGTTATAAACAGCACTTTATGTCCAGAAACCCAATACTGCATACTCCATCTAGAGGACTCAAGACAAACATGTTTGGTAAATAGCTGTATAAGACTTACCTTCCAGATTTTTTTTTTTTAATATGGAGGTTTGACAGTTGGTAACTGATTGAATGAAACAGATTTCTCTATTAGAGGTTCAGAAAATGACCAGAAGTTTGAGAGGTGAATATAAGACATTCACCGGCATACCCCAAATGCACTTCTGTAAGGGAAGGAGCAAGGAATGGCCATGCGCTGTAGGCCTTCTTCAGGGATATCCTGCTCCATAGGCGTTTCACTCCAAGGTGAGAGAGGAGAAGCAGACAACAGGTGAGAGAGTTCATATTACCTTAATTGTTTTAGCAGATCGCCGAAGTTTATGAAATTCGTCACGTGGTTAATAAGTTCCCATGTTCACCTGATTAGGAAGTATGCGTACAAAGAGCTGAACAAAGGTCTCTTGGCCCATGTTTTACCTACGTTACTAAGCTATCCCCCAAGATCTGAGCTTTCATCATCAGCTTTTTCAAAGAATACTCTTCAGGAGCTTTACCTTTTGTACTGGAAATGAGAATGACGTAAAGCTAGTATTTCACTTTGCTACTGTGGAAGAGGGAACATTGATAGGTCTGATTTTTATGTAGTAGATGAATTCGAGAAAGTGCTGAATAAATCTAATTATTGTACCCTAAAAATGAGTATCGTACACACAGAGAACTATTTAAATGAAGTCTGTGAAGCAGATCTTTGTTAAGGAATTTTACTGCATGTCTTTATTGGTTCGTGTGTTTGAATTTTTGGTATATTGCATAATTTTTTAAGTTAATTATCTGTTAACTTGTGGAAGCGTATGAAAGATTTTTGTTTGTTTTATATATACCAATGTTTGACTGTTTATTTTTCTTCATTCCATAGCTAACAGCTCATTGCTTAAAAAGTGTATTTTATTAGAAGGAAGCCTGGATTGGGAATTATGAGCCAGATTTTTAATCCTGATTTTTCTGCTTTATTCCTGAGCATCACTGAAATACTCTTGAGTCCTAGCTTCTTACTCTGTGAAAGGAGGGAATTGGATTAAAATTATGTGTGAGGTTCCACCTCTAAAGTTACAAAGTTTGTACTATACTACATACAGGGGGAAGTCTAAACCAGAAAATTTTAAAGAACTCTGGGGAGACACCATGCTTGAGATTAATAAATAAGAAATACTTCTTTTAAAAATGTTTAAGAAATTATAAATGAAAAATCTATCTCCCTTTTGTATTCCAGTTTTACTACTTAAATCCCAGCTAATTTAGATAACTCAAAACATCATTCTTCCAGACTTCTTCATATAAAAGGTGGTCACACATAGGGACTTTGGAAAATTTCTTTGAACTATTAGAAAAAGTAAATATTTTGAAAAAAACAAAACCATGAAACTTTCACAAGATAGCAAAAGAATAAGAGTTCTCACCCATTGCTTCCAAGCCTCAATGAGATGTGCAAATATTGCATTTAATTTTAGGCAAAGTATTTGAAGCAGAGTTTGACTTGTGATGTTATCCTGATAGGATTTGATTAGGAATTGGGCCTGCTTCACTGGGATCTGATCTACATATTGAAATTATAGAGGTCAAAATGCTCAGATGCTGCCCATGGACTGGCATATCAGGGTGGACTATATTTCAGGCTTGATGAGATGTCACCATACACAGCAGTAGGGATTACTATTTTTTTTTTAATTGTGCTTTAGATGAAGCTTTACAGAGCAAATTACTTTCTCATTAAACAATTAAGACACATATTGTTTTGTGACATTGGTTGTCAATCCCAAGACATGTCAACACTCTCCCCTTATTGATCTTGAGTGCCCCCTTACCAGCTTCCCTGTCCCCTCTTGTCTTCTGGTCCTTGCCCCTGGGCTGGTGTGCTCATTTAGTCATGTTTTGTTTTATGGGCCTGTTTAATGTTTGGCTGAATGGTGAACCTCAGGAGTGACTTCAGTACTGAGTTTAAAGGGTGTCTGGAGGCTATACTCTTGGGGTTTTTCCAGTCTCTGTCAGACCAGTAAGTCTGGTCTTTGTTTTTTTTTTTTTGGTTTGTGTTTGTGAGTTAAAATTTTGTTCTACACTTTTCTCCAGCTTTGTCCAGGACCCTCTATTGTGATCCCTGTCAGAACAGTCAGTGGTGGGAGCCAGTTACCATCTAGTTGGGCTGGAGTCAGTCTGGTGGAGGCTGTGGTAGCTGTGGTCCATGAGCAGGGATAACTTTTGATTTGAAAGAAATGACTGTGAGAGACCTTTAAAAACTACTTTTTAAAATCCACTAAATTATGAGTGTCTGGATAAGAAAGAATTCTAAAATGTCCAAACAGAAATATATAATCTTACTTTTACAAGGAGGAAAAAAATAATCAACACACTACTTTAAATGACTTTATAAGAAACAGTATTTTTGGTGTGTTATTAAAGCCATGGTGGTGCAATGGTTGAGAGCTACGGCTGCTAACCAAAAAGTCAGCAGTTCGAATCCACCAGGCACTCCTTTGAAACCCTATGAGGCAGCTCTCCGCTGTCCTGTGGGGTCACTATGAGTCGCAATCAACTCGATGGCAATGGGTTTGGCTTGGTTTCTGGTGTTAAAGCTGTGGAATGTTCATCATCTCAATCGAGCTGCATATCTTAGTCTTTTCAAAAATTATTTTTCTTTATATTCCAATGTAGATATTTGGATCCAGTACAAATTCTTTATTGGGAATATTACTATACCTTCAATAATGTAACATGTAGCTGACATTAAAGTTTATTCAGTTTGAAAAGAACCCCTTTCTTCAGTGTGAGTGACAGATCTTTAAATACTTGCCATAGAGACTTCACAGAGCCCTTCCTAATCTAACAAATGGATCCTCTAGTAAGCTCAGTTCTTCACACTTCATATTTCCTTTCTATGGCAGTTCCCCTCCCCCGCAAGGCACTGCTTCCCCTCTGTCTCCTACTCATCTTAAACAATAGCTTCTCACCCCTGTTTATTTCTCTCCTTACTCCCATGCTCTGATGTCTC